AGAAGAGCCCTGCTGGATCAGACCAGGGGTCCATCTAGTCCAGCCTCCTGTCTCACACAGTGGCCAACCAGTTCCTCTGGAGGGCCAGCAACAGGGAATAGAGGCCGAGGCATTCCCCTGATGTTGCCTCCTGGCTCTGGGATTCAGAGACTTAGTGCCTCTGAATGTGGAGGTTCCCCTGAGTCACCACGGCTAGTAGCCACTGATAGACTTATGCTCCATGAACCTGTGGCCCATTACACACGCACATCTTACTGCAGATTTTCCAAGCAGCAGGTCTTTAAGCTTGACTTCTGATTCTGTGCCTGCCTTACACACCGTTCTTTTTCCTATGGTGTATTTATTCTGCAGCTACAATTTTAAAAACTCACCGTTCTAAATTGAGGTGGGAACATCACTTGTGTCATGTGGGAGTGGCATCCAAAGGTTGTTTTTTTTAAAAAAAAAATTACACAATTGCTCTATTGCAGCTGTGCAGTAGCATCTTCAGCAAGCGCCTTCCATTTAAATCCTGGTGGTTCAGGTTTTGTGCATGCATTTTAGAATCAGTTCGCGGAATTAAAGGGAACTGAAAGGAAGGCAGGGAAAGGGGGGAAACCTATGTTGAAACTGACAAGACTTTTTTTTTTGAAACTGACAAGCAGCTGTGAAGCCCAGTTTTCCATATTGCCGAGCACTAGGGCAGGGGTGTCAAACATATGGTCCACAGGCCAGATCCGGCTCCTGCAGGGCTCCTATCCCATCCATAAGCAACTGGCTCTCTGCTGCTTCCTGTTCCCTGCATTGCAGCTCCTTTTGCCCAGTCTCTCCTATTTCCTGCTTCGCAGAGAGTGAGAAAAAGCCAAACCTCCCTTCCCTCGATTAGCTGAGGGCTCCTCTCCCTTTGGGGAGGTGGAGGGAGGGAAAGAGCCAGAGAAAGAGAGAAAATGGAGTCCCGTGGCACTTTTAAGACAAACAATCTACTTGCAATTTCTTGCTTTCGAACTGCTAGGTTGGCAGGAACCTATAGGACCCATTTATCAGTGAAGAAATTAACTTTGAAATAGCAGTACAGCAAATGTTATTCGACAGTTGTATCCTCAAACCTGAAAGAACGCAACAGCCCTGTTCATCAAGATTACCCCCCACCCCCAAGCCAGGAGACGGTGTCTCACATCACTCGCACTCTCTCCTGGGTGGATTCTCATTCAAGCCGACTGAATCTCTTCGTGTTGGGGCCAGTCTGCGCAAACACTCGGCTGACAGCTCTCATCACGAGGGAGGAGGAAGAGGAGAGGTGCTTCACCCCCGCGCCCCTGCAGCAACACGCAAGGCAGCTTCACGCAGAGGCCTATCCACACACAGGACCGCCATGCCCAATTCACCCAAGGAATGCTGGCGGAAACTGAGCCTCGTGTCGTGCCAGGTGCACTGACGGACAGACTGGGGCACCTTGCTCTTTCCCCTTGCAGAGATGTTCACTGGTCGAGGAGGTGCGGGAGCCAGCCTTCAGAGGCGAGGCCCACTGTCCACGCAGCCCACGCCAGAGAGGACAAGCCCCGGAGCTAAAGGAGCCTGATTCATACAGAGATGGGGAGAGGGTTGGCAGGACTAGAGATGCAAAGGCCCGGGAAAAAAGCGGGAAAATTCAGGAGGGGGGGGGAAACAGTTTTCCCCCGTTTTTTTCCTGAAGCCTTTGGGGGTTTTTCCCGAAAAATTGGAAAAATTAAAAAAAGAAAAGGAAAAAAAATTGATTATGGAACGTTTTATTTTAACATGATGAATAAAATATTTTAAGACAAGGTGTTCAAATATTTTCCAAATAATTTCTAAAAAATATGTATGATATCAGATTGATCTAATTTCTGTGCACTGAGGACAAGCAAGTCCTAGGTTACAAACTGAACTGAAACTGATGCTGATAATTACAGAAAATGATTCTGATTAAATTTAATGCCCATTCATTGAAATTTAGTCCCACACTCCCTTCTATACACTTCCCCCCCTCTTCAGTTCTTTTTATGAGAATGGTTTTTTATTATTTAATACTGTGAAGAGGAAATATGAATAACTGTTACTTCTGGGTTTTTAAAAATTGTTTTGTGGAGGGTTTTTTTGTCTGTTCCACATAAACTAGGAAACAGTTCAGGAGATAGTTGCTCCATTTGTTACAATTACAAATAAATATTTAAAAAGTAAATTCTGTTTGTAATAATTGTTTGGATACACTATATTTTTAATAGGCTAGTTGTGATAATTTCATGCCAAGTTAAAATGTCCATAGTCATATTTTATGTTCCTAAAGTAACAGAATGACTTTCAATCTGGAAAAGAAAAAAAAAGTGCTAATGTAGCATTTTTTTCAATTTTTCTGAAAATTTCCGTTTTCCCCCGGGAAAAAACTGGGTTTTTTTCCGAGCTTCAAAATTTCCAGAAATTTTACATCTCTAGTCAGGACTATGCCATGAAAGGACTGTGCCACTTCAGACCTGCAGGTGGAGGATGGTTAAGGTTCCTATACTGTTAAGGTGTGTCTGTTGCGGGGAGGGGAAAGGAAAGGAGAATGTAAGCCGCTCTGAGACTCCTTCAGGTAGTGAAGGGCGGGGTATAAATCTAATCTCTTCTTCTTCATCCCACCATCTCATTCTCCGACATGTGTAAACCAGGTCCAATTCTGACGGATGGGGCCATGTGCATCAAACGGGACATGGCAGCATCATACTTGCCCTAATCATGTGGGTGGGTGGGTGTCAAGTTAAGAGCAAAAGGGGCCTGTTAATTGTGCCTGCTCTGCGGTCTCATCCCTCTCCCTGTCCCATGTGATTCTCTCCCAGCATTAAAGATGGGGTGAAAAAAACACATTAAGGGAAAGGTAGGTGGTGGGGGGAAGGGGGGGAAGGTTACGGGGATAGTAGTGGTTTGGTGTAGTGGTTAAGTGCACGGACTCCAATCTGGGAAAACTGGGTTTGATTCCCGACTCCTCCACTTGCAGCTCCTGGATGACCTTGGGCAAGCCATAGTTCTGTCTGAGCTGTTCTCTCAAGGGCAGTCCTGGAAAGAGCTCTCTCGGCCCCGCCTACCTCACAGGGTGTCTGTTGTGGGGAGGGGAAGGGAAAGGAGTTTGTAAGCCGCTCTAAGACTCCGAGTGAAGGGTGGTGTATAAATCCAATCTCCTCCTCTCCTCCTTCTAGGAGGAAGGAAAAGGGCAGGGGGAAGGTTCCGCACCCGTCACCAGCAATGTTCCCTCCAAGCTGTGGAGTCTTGTGAGCAAAAATTCTACTTCGTGAGCTGCTGGCATTAAAGGTGTGAGCTAGCGATTTGGCTACTGCATAAATTGGTTTGCTCTGGAGCCATCCTTCCTGAGCCAAGGCAAAAATGTGTGAGCCAGAGGCTAAAAAACTGTGAGCTAGCTCGCACTAACTCAGCTTAGAGGGAACACTGGTCACCAGTGAGCTTTCCCCTACAAAACCGGCCTCTGACTCCTTCTCCCCCCGCATTCCACACAACCTGAGCCGATGCGGGTTTGATCACACAGATCTGCTTCTCTGGTGGCGCCCTGTGCTCCGGTGTGCTTTGAGGTTACAGGAAGGGGCATCTCTGCCACGGCTGGAAACACCCTGCCCCCCAAGCGTCCCCCCACTCTGATCAATGTGGGGGGGGGAGCAAAAAAAACCCAGCAGGCTAATTGTGTCGGAGCAAGTGTGTGTGTGTGTGTGTGTGTGTGTGTGTGCCTGTTATGGGGGAGAGGGCATGAAGCAGAGATGACAAATGTCGACCTTCAATGAGTGGCTTCACAACCGAGGGTGCTGCTCCAGGCCAGCGGCAGCTGCACAAGAAGGGGGCTATTGTGTGGCTCCAGGCCCAGCTGGGTCGTCGACTCTCCCCTGTGGGCCCCCCCACTTTCCCGCAGGTGACATCACCATGGGGCACGGCGGGAAGCGCTGAGACACTCCAGATGATGGAGGGCCCTGGGAAAGGAGGTGCCTCTGTGGAAACAAAGGGCACCTTTGACGCCCCCCCCTTCTCTGAGGGACGGAGAAGGCTGGGGAGAGCAGGCTCGCGCCTCAGACAAGGCAGGGTTCTTCCTTAAGACAAACTTCAGATTGTGCCTGGCCAGCCAGCTGCTCTTTGCAGGAATTTGCCAGAGGCTGTGGAGTTGAAGGTGCCCTGGCTGGGCCCGGGAGGGCGTCTGGGGACAAAAAGGAGCCACCAGGGCAGACTTCGCCATTACCCGAGGGAGCCAACGAGCCAGGGGGAGACCCAGAACGTTCCGTCCCGGGAAGGAACCCGCTTTGTTTAGAAACTCACTCGTGAAAACGACAACAACTCTGTGGTCCTGTGGATAGGGGACTGGACTCTAAACCTGGGAGTCGTGGGTTTGAATCCCTGCTTGGCCGCAGGTACACTGGAGAAGTCTCCCTCCCTTCATAAGCAACGGTTTCCCCACTACAACCTTAGCTTGCTATTTAGTTTTGTCTTGCATATCTTAAAACATCTTCATCGTGTTACATGCCAAGTTTGGTGTAGTGGTTAAGTGTGCGGACTCCAATCTGGGAGAAACGGGTTTGATTCCCCACTCCTCCACTTGCAGCTGCTGGATGACCTTGGGCAAGCCGTAGTTCTGACAAGAGCTGTCCTTGAAAAAAAGCAGTTTCTGTCAGAGCTCCCTCAGCCCCGCCCACCTCACAGGGTGTCTGTTGTGGGGAGGGGGAGGGGGAGGGAAAGGAGTTTGTAAGCCGCTCTGAGACACCTTTGGGTAGTGAAGGGTGGGGTATAAATCCAATCTCTTCTTCTTCTTCTCTTCAATGTACTTGAAAAAGTGTGCATGCACAAGAACAGGGTTCCCCCACCACATTTGCTCCTGCATGACTACTTTCTATTTACTAATTGGTTTTGAGGTGTAAATAAGGACAAAATGACCTAGTTCACAGCAGGAAAAACTGGACTTTTCTCAGGATGCCAATGACAGCACCTCTGCTATGCACGAAAAGCTCAGCAATTTGCGAAGGGAAGTTTCTCAGTAGCCTATCCTGATGTCCTGCATGAGAACATCAGCCAAGGGAAGCTTCCGCCGGCAGGCAGTTTCCTCGCAAGTGGAGTGACATCCCTCCGACAAGATGCAGTCCTGGGGGAGGGGGGGCTGGGTGTGTTCTGGCCTCCCTTCTCAGTTCTTCATGCTGGGTACAGCAAGACTCAAGCGGCTGGTGCCCAACTGAGATCATGCCAGAGAGGACTCATCCAGCACACTCACAAGAGCTGTCCTTGAAAAAGAGCAGTTTCTGTCAGAACTCTCTCGGCCCCACCCACCTCACAGGGTGTCTGCTGTGGGGAGGGGAAGGAGTTTGTAAGCTGCTCTGAGACTCCCTTGGGTAGTGAAGGGCGGGGTATAAATCCAATCTCTTCTTTTTTTCTTCTTCAGCAAAGAACAATATGGAAGGGATTTCCTGAGTTAACATTGGAAAATGATTATTCAGCTACAAGGCCACGTCCTACGAAACTGACATTCTGTATCCAGACAAAAACCACAGCTGTGGCTCAAAAACTTTACAGCTATGGGGTGCGCAGACCCGGGACGGGGAGAACAGCCTTGCCTGGGCCTTCGAGCCTTGTACCGATGGCTGAGTGTGGTGAGGGTTTACATATTAGGCCTCTCTCCCTCTAGATGGACACCTGTCCCCCAGCTGAAGAATCTTCATCAGATGAATGCACCCAATTTATATTTGGGGAAGGGTGGAGAGTTTCTCCCTTGCTTGCTATGAAAATTGTGTGTGTGTGTGTGTGTGTGTGATGCTGCCGAGTCACTTTTGACATCCTAGCGTTACTGTCCTTTCCATTGACTCTTTGCCTTCTCATAATGTGACCAAAGTACGATAGCCTCCGTTTAGTCATTCTAGCTTCTAGGGCTTGATTTGATCTAAAGGCAAAAGTAAAGGTTTCCCTTGTTCGAAAGCCAGTTGTATCTGACTATAAGGGATGGTGCTCACCTCCATTTCCAGGCAAACAAGCCAGCGCTGTCCGAAGAAGTTTCCATGGTCATGTGGCCGGCATGACTAAACGCCGAGGCGCACGGAACGCTGTTACCTTCCCACCGAAGCGGTACCTATTCATCTACTTGCAATTTCTTGCTTTCGAACAGCTAGGTTGGCAGGAGCTGGGACCAGGGACGGGAGCTCACTCCGTCATGCGGCACTCGGATCTCGAACTGCCGAGCTACCGACCTTCCGGTCTGCAGCTCAGCAACTTAACCTCTGAATCACTGCAGCCCTTGATTTGTTCTAGACCCTGCTTATTTGTCTTTCTGGCAGTCCAGGGTATCCGTAAAACTCTCCTCCAACACATTTCAAAGGAATCAACTTCCTGTCAGCTTTCTTCATTGTCAAGCTTTCATATCCATAGATAGCAATGGGGGAATACTGTGGTACGAACTATCTCGATCACCAGCAGTTACATTTCAGGACCTTTTCTAGCCCCTTCGTGGCTGCCCTTCCCAGTCTCAATCCTCTTCTGATTTCTTGGTTGCCATCCCCCTTTTGCTTGATGATCCAAGAAATAGAAAACCCTTCATGACGGCAATTTCTTCATTGTCAACCTTTAAGTTGTGCACTTCCCCAGTAGTTATTACTTTTGTCTTCTTGATGTTCAGCTGGTAACAGTCTTTGTTGTACAGAAATTAGGAACACCTTAATTCGGGGGTGTCAAACATGCGGCCCTCTCCTCCTTCCAGTTCTGTTGCTGCTGCTGCTGCATCATAACTTACTTCACCAAATTCTCTTCATCGCTCAGCCATTTCATGTTTTCACCTGGGTCCTAGACTCAGAACTCTGAGCATGACATTTCTGTGGTGAATGTCAATAAATCAAAAGTAGGTTTGCTGCTTACAGAGCTAATTTTTTAAGCTAATTGTTTAAGCATGTTTTTATTTTAAGTAAAAAAAAATATGTATCTTTGTGTTTGTGTCCTTTATAAAGTTTATGTTTCCACTACCTGGCATGACACACGTGGCCCGGCCCAGCAAGGTCTCGTTTATGTCACATCCAGCCCTCCTAACAAATGAGTTCGACACCCCTGCCTTAATTCATGGGTTCGGGAGGAGGAGGAATATCTGCTCAGACTCCTAACGGTCCTTTTAGATGCACTCCTGCTAAAAGCTTTGACTGGGGGTGGGGGTGGGGGGGTTCACAATGTAGAGGAGCGTCTCCAGGGCCTCACTGGTCAGCCCCTCCCCAACCTCATTTTCTTAATCTG